AGATTTCTTACTTTACCCAGTTTGTTCTTCCTATGTTACAGGGAGCAATGTAGTGTGGAGAGCATCTGCTTTTGAGAGCATGGGCTAGTGTTGGCTATGTTGGTGGCGAGTGTGGTGTAGCCGCTCAGAAACAGTTGGTAGACTTGATCTGGCTAGACAAGGCTTTTCCATGTATTCCAAAGCTCCTCTGAGGTATCGGTAACCTTGTGGTATAATATCATCAGCCCTGGACCTGCTTTTAAAGAGGACTTTGCTAATGCATAGCCCCAAGGGTGACTTTTGTCAGTGGTGAGTTTGAAACTCAGGAGCCTATTCTTGAGCTGTAGTTAACGTGTTTGTGCAAGTGTGGTGAATGGTGTGGAAGTGCACTTGAGTGGGAGCTGAAATGATTTGGGAGACTAAAATGCAGCAGGAAGGCAGGTTTGTGTGATTTGGTTCTTTTGTAGTTTTGTTTTGCTTTTTTACTTATTTATTAGCTCAGAACAGAATGTCTTTAATCTTTGTTACATGCCTCAGAAAACCAGATCCTAGAACAATCCCAGGGTGACAAAGGTTGCCAAAGTCAGGTAGGCCTTGCTCCAGAGTGGGTAAGAGCAGCACTGTCTTCTCACTAAACATGTTGGGTTTGGACTCCAGTGTTTAGGAAATGTGTCTTAAATACCCCTGTTGCAGTTCTCCCCCAAACATTGCCCCAGGATGTACTTGCTGTGTAGCAGAAGGCACAACTCAAGCCCTATGCATGTGGGATTTCAAAGGGACAGAACTCCTTTGGGAAAGCTATTGCAGCATTGCTCGCTTGGCAATTCCATGTACCTTGCTCCTGAAACATCTGGTGCTGGCCACTGTTGGACACAGGATGCTGGAAGAACACGGATCCTGGATTGCTCCGACAACGCTCTTCCAATGAATTCATTTGCAAGAGATCTAAGAGAGGATTATTTTAAGTTGTAATCATTAATTGTCTCTAGTTAGAAATGAACTGACCCTTACATATGGTTTTAGGATAAAGCACCTGATTTTTATACAGCAAACAAACTTAATTATGTACCTCTTAAAAACATTTTAATTGGTAGAGATACCTTTTAAATTATTTATGTCCCAGCATTTGCAAAGCTCTGATTAGCTCCGTGCAAGTGTTCTGATGTCTGTGACGTTTCCCACCCCTTCCTTCTAATTTTCAATTTGTCTTTTACTTTATTGTTAATAAATGATCTGAAAACCATCATATAGGGAAGTCTCTTTATTTTTCATTCACAGCTTCAGTGTTTATTATAGTATTTACTTAGAAATAAATATATAATATATCCTGCCCATCCCAGCTCCCCTTTTGTTTCCCTTATGTGTTACTGTTGTTCAGATATTCTAGGAAGGCATTTCCTGTATAAAACTGTATTAAAAAAGAATCAAAACACCACCTAATGTTGTGGGCATATCACTTTAAGACGTTAAAAAAGTGGCTTGAAGACAGCTGAAAATCCTCTCCAGTGTGTATTTGGTATACTTTATTTTTAAAGAGTTTCTAGTGTGGATTTCAGCATATCTTACAAGTGAAGCACTTGCCCTTTTCCAATACAACAGGTATTCAACGAGGCAGGAATTTCTTTTTAATTATGGTTAAAAATGTAGATGCTCAATGTCAGATAATTTAATAGATTAGAAAGTACAGCGTAAAATAAGGCTGGAATGTGCTCTTCATTAAACTTCATAAAAACAAAATAGTTACAAACTACTGTTTTGAGGGAAGTGCTGTAGTATTTGGATGCTTAATCTGTTCTTTAATCCTTTCCGAATTTGCAGGCGTGCTGATTTTGTTTGTATCTCTGTCAGAGTAGAACTGAACATCAGTTAATTAATTCTTAATTGGATTTTTTTTTGCTTACTTTTATTGTTCATCTGGTTATCTGCTTGCAAAAGCTCTAGGTTTGCGTGTAATGACATTATTGGAATCTAGGGAGCTCTGAAGCTATTCTAAACCATGGCGCTGCTCCTGCAGAAGTCTGTGCAAGCGTTTGAGTGTCATGCAGTGTTTAAAGTATTAAACAGGAGAAAAAGATGTATCTAAACGTGAATTGCTGTATAAAAGACAGTCCGTTTGAAAAGCCAGTAAGAAAAACCTTTAAAAATCAGAACAGTATCTTTCAGGAGGGCTTCAGGAAAAACTGTTTCCTTTGTGTTGTGCCATCTTACTTCCAAATACTTCCTTTAGCATGGTCTAGGCTGTTTAATATTGTAGTAGCACTGTATGAACGTTCCTTTACTATGAGAGGTTGAAGGAGGTACAAGGCAGCCTACTGTTTGACATGGTTTTTACTTCAGATTGGCCAAATAGGCTTCTTGTTTGTACATATAATGACAAGGACAGCCCCATTGTTAGATATGTGCTCCATTTTCCTTGTATATATGTTGTGCTTCTCCAGGATATCAAATCTGAGGGGCTGATACAATGAGTTTTTATAACAAAATACTGTAGATACAATTAGATCATAAACCTGGAGATGAAGGTTGGATTCCAATCCCGATTTTGCAGCTGGCTCAATTCTAAGTACTAGGTAAGTCTGTTTGCAGTCATTTGCAATCAAAATGGTTGGACTTTATGATCTTAAAGGCCTTTTCCAGCCTAGTTGATTCTATTTTAGCCTCTAAACAAGGTATCTGGTCATTTAGCTGTTTATCTGCCGCAAGTGCTGTCCTTGCTGGTTTCAGGACCAGCAATTGACAACATCAACACCTAAAAAGCTCAGGTGTAATACAGTGAGTATTATTTCGAAATGAACAAGTAGGAACAACTAGGGATACTGCACAGCAAATTGGCAGTATGGAAAGGAGCACTTGTAATAGCTGAAACCCTCTGAGTTGCATCCAAATTTAACTAAAAGGTTGGTTTGTTTTAAAAATACAAATGACCTTTTCTCCACAGATACGAGACAGTGGGTAATCCGTGCTAAGCTGCAGAATGTGGTGAGAGATTTTTGGGCGACACTGCTGGCTGCCGCTCGTTCAGGAGCCAGTTCATGCTTGCTCCTCTGGAAAACAACTGCAGCAATCTTCTTTACATACAGTGTGATGGCTGCTGGTGCACGACGCTCTGCAGTGCAGTCATGGGGATTGCCTGGCAGTTGGGCATGGCTCGGTGGGGAAGTGTTGCTGGAGATGCAGTTCATACCATTTCCTCCTGTTCATCTTGTAGATGCGCAGCCTTTCTTCTTCTGCTACAGGATCTTTGAGAATCCCATCCCATCGAAGGCTTTTGTTAAGCTGAGCAGAAAGACCTTGATCTGTTTGAGCAGAGTCCAAAGTGGTGGCAGTTGATATCACAACCTTGTTCATTTCTGCATCCTTCCGATTCTCTTCTGAGTTATTTTGGGCTGGGTCAGGGTTCCTCCCAGGACCTGGGATTTCAGGCAATTGAAAGGAGCAGGCCTGCTGCTTTCTGGTGTTGTGGTCGTGTTTAGCTGTTAGAAAGATAAATGCTGTTAGCAAAAATGTATGCATTGCCTCTGAGGCTTTCCTGGCTATTTCATACAGAAGATGATGAGAGAACTGCTTGCTGTACCTTTATTGCCCATTAATAAGAAACCAAATCGATAAGAAAATATTAATGCCCTAATGGCCCATTTATTTTTAAGTGGGAAATATATATTTATCTGATTGGCTAACACAATGATCCTTACACCTGTAAGATGTGTTTATTGAGGCTGTTAATGCATTAATAGCACTTCTACACTGGAGTCAACTTCACTGTGCTTGCCTAACTTGATTTAGGCAGGAAATTGATTCTTGGTCGTTGGGAATATTTTAAAGCTGTTATCCATTAATATAGCAAGCAATGTGATTTTATTAATTTTTGTATAGGGCACATTTTGTACTAAGATCCTATTCCTTTACATGGAAGATTTTCTTACATTAACCTCCCATTTTGAGTAGCTATAGCAGCAACTCAACCCCACTGATGGGAGGTTAGATCAGTGCTGTGACTCAGGCCGATGGAGCAGCAAATATTTAACCTATACTGTAGCTCACCAAAAGAAAACCACTAAATATTTACAGCACCCCAAACCTTAGGCAGTTTATGAAAATTTCCTTGACAGATTTCTTATGCCTCCTACTGCTTATGCTGTGTAGTTACACACACTCAACCTTTTTTGGGGAGATTGGTAGCAATATATGAAACGATATGTATAAACAGGATGCAGTTCAGTGGAAGGTTTTAAAGTGCCATAGATGGTTCCCTAGGAAAGCTCTGTTTTCTCTCCATGGCAGCTGTCCTGCAGGATGGAGGCAGAGCCAAGCACTATAGCCTCTGGCCAACCCACACAGGTGGATCTGAGCTGCTTCCCTACTGGTACCCGCACTCCGGCTGCGCATCCCTTCATGTCTGTGCAGCATCAATTGCACAACCATGCGATGCTGAGCAGCGATCACGTACCAGCCTTGTGCACACATGGCTTCACCCAATGACCCCTTCCCACCCAGGTGCTGCATGGGGCGTTTGGGGGGCTCACCTGCCCGCGCGGTGGTGGTGGTGGCGGCAGCACTCCTGCATGGCAGCCGCTGCTGTTTCTTTCTCTGTGGTGGCTTCATGCCTCGGGTCTGCGGTGGAGGGGGACACGGGCAGCCCCTCGCCCCCCGCCGCCTGCCCGTGCAGCTCTCCTGTCCTGTGGCAGGCCTGGCATGACTCCCTCGAGCCTGGCAGGGAGCAGGGGAAGGAAGGTCAGCAGCCCTGGCCCAGCCTCCATCCTTGTCCCTACTCCATCTTCCCTTCCCTCTCCATCTCCCCTCAGGTTTTGCCCTTCCATCTCCTCTTGCTTCTACGCCTTCCCGCCCCATCTCCCCTCAGCTCTTCCCCTCAGCTCTTCCCCTCAAGCACTTTCCCTCAGCGCTTTCCCGCCCCATCTCCCCTCAGCGCTTTCCCGCCCCATCTCCCCTCAGCACCTTCCCTTCCACCTCACCTTCTCCCTTCACCTCTCCTCCCCTCACCACCTTTCCCTCCATCTCACTTCTGCCTTCCCTCTACCCTTTCCCCACCACTCCCCTCAGTGCCCACCCTCCAGTGAGCTCTCCAGGGCAGCCATGGCGCAGCGGCAAGCCTGGGCCTGCCCGTTTGGCCAGGGGCCCAGCGCCATTGCTCTGTGTGCACAGCCCTGTGCAGCACAGGTTGCCTCTCCTGTGCCCCTCTGCATGGGTAGGCACGGGGGCTTTCCTGAGGTAAAATGGCCACACCAGAAAGCATTGGCTTCTCTGAAGTAATACGGCCCTGCATCTATTGCAAGGAGACCAGTTACTGGGATCCTTCCCATCCCTTCATGGTACCTCAGCCCTGCAAATGAAGGTGCTGAGGGGAACTCGGCCATCTTCCCTCCCCTCTGCCGTTCCCCACATCCGAGCACAAAGGTACATGTGGAACAGCTTCTGAGCTCACAACAGTCCTCCTGAGCGTCCTGGGGACAGCGCAGTCCTCAGACCTCCTGCCCTTGCTGCTGTGCTGTGCTGTGGGTGTTTCAGCAGCCCCAGCAGCCAGGGAGATGAACTTGTCTGCTTCAGAGGTGAGCCTGGATGAAAAGCCTTTGCGGGGACTCTAGCACCAGTTGCTGAAGCAATGCACCTCTTATTTGTCATCCTCTCCCTGGAAATAACACAATGTTTAATCTCGCTTTGGTTGCTTTCTCCCCCTCCCTGCCTGCCTCTTCCCTTCTCTCCTTCTGATCTATTTGGATGTGAAATTTGGCAGACGCTCGCGGTTGCATTCAGGTTGTGATGAAATTGGGCTCCCAGGAGGCCGCTCCCGCAGCGGATCCCTGGGCTGCAGGCAGCACTTCTCTGACTGCCGCTAATGATCTGATTTCAAAGTGCCAGCAGCAGGGGTTTCGCAGTGATGGTTATTACTAACGCTGTGCAGCAGCCAGCAGCTCTCCAAAGCCTGCGTGGGGATGAAAGGGATGGTGACAGGGCAAAAAGGCAAGGAAAACAGCAACAGCAGTGATGGGATGTAAATAATTCATCCAAACTGAAGAGTGAGTGCAATGTTTTTTGTTTGAGAAAAGCTGAAGGAAGGGGATCACCTGTAGCTTGTGGCAGTTGTCATTAATGTTACTGTGATAAAACCTGACTTGCCAGCCAAATCAGAGCCCAGTGGTAGCGGCTGGCCCGATCTACATACAAAGAAAATCGCCTTCTGAGAGGACCTCCCTGGAGTACCAGGATGAGTAGGAACAACGTTCGCCTGGTGCCAGGAGGATGCTGAGTGGTGAGGTGCTCCTTGACAGCAGGCTATTCTGAAGGGCTACTGTCTCCAGGCAAATCCCTTACCCTCTTACTGCTTCTGTCACCTCCCTCTTTACTCCCTTTTCTGTTTATACTGACAGTCTCGAGCTCTGCTGTGCCCATCACGGTCTCAGCGGATCTTCTACCTGCAGTTCACAGTAAAAATACTAAGAACAAACTTTTCACAGTCCTCTGAAGGTTTCACCATGTCTTGGAGGCACATATCTTTTGAAAATAAACATAGCATGAAATCATCGTATAGAAATACAATTTGCAAGCCCAGAGAATTAGACCTGAGCCCGTTCACACGAGCAAATAGAGCAGCGGATCCAAATGAGGAGTTTGCCTTTAAAACAAGTAAAAAAGCAGCTTTATTTGCTATGAAGCAGTAGTATTAGTTAAACATTTCCTCTGCCTTATATATTCTCAAGCAAGTGTGCTCTATAGGCAAGATTATTTATTTTTTCCTCAGATTAGGTACTGAGTTATTGACTTTTTTATTGAGGAGTGAGAATTAGAAGGACAAATACAAACTGAATCACTGAGGACCAAATAGTAGCAGATTGCAATTACAGGAACAGCTTGGGGAAAGATCCTGTCCCTCTTGCTATGAACTGTGAAAGGGTTAGACCGAGCTGGAGGGGTCAGGGCGATGGGAAGGGAGTGCCAAACACCTCTGGCTGTGGCAGCTCCTTGCTGGTTGTCAGCCTGTATCCCTAGGAAATGGTCTTTCAGAGATAAGCAGCCAGACAGTTTGGCCTTTGGTGTTCACTGTGTTTAAAACTGCTCATAATTAAAATTAATACTCTGATTATTATTTGTGTAGACCAGCAGTGCAACACCTCAGCACCGATTGCCCAGCACGACAGGGCTGAGATTAGGAACCCAGACCCCTGCTCACCAGTCCAGTGCTCAAACCAGGAATCTTCCTGCAGTACTCCAGGATGGTTACAATTAGGATTGTTTTGTTGTACAATAGGGCTGTTTTTAAGCATCTGTAGTTCTTCTGGAGGATACCTTCATACCCAGGAGTTCAACATCATTTAAATGGTCTTTATTTCTTGAGACACATGCTGGTTTGAGGGTGATGCAGGAAGGCTGCTCCCTGGTGTGCAGTTATGTGCTGTGCTAAAAGCAGACTGGAGCAGCTTGGGGCATCTATGGTGCAACTGTCAGCATCGCTGATAGGCCTGCAGGAGAAGGCTGCTATCCCTTACAATCCTTGTCATATTTAAAATCCCTGGCAGCTGTGATCTGGTGAATAATTCAGTGGGACCCATCATTGATAACAGAGAGATTTTGAAGGGTTCTTTTGGTGGAACTGGAAGTGCCTGTGTTCTGAGAAACGAGTATATTAAAAATTGACTTCATGCTATCAAGCTAAAACTCATACTTAGCCTTTTAAATTTTTTAAGGTAATGTCATATTTATTCTCTGTGACTTCCAGCTATCAACGCCCAGTCTTGCAGTCGGACTCTGAAGCATCTGTGGGGATCCCAACGAGCAAATTCAACAGCAGAATGGATACAGGCTCTGAGACGTGTGTCATTTCCTGTGCCTATTGCTCCTGCCAATCCAGCTGGTGGAATAAGGTAATTTATCTTTATCCTGAAGTTGGCTGAACTGTGTGTTTAATTTATTTATACTATTGACTCTGTGGAGGACTACCCTGGTGTGAAAAGTCATCTTGAAGCGCTTTCTCCCACGGAAATGCAGGCTCTGTATTAGTACAAACACTGCTTCCTCTGATGTATTTTTCAACACTTGCCTAAATTGAATAGCAAAATATATACTCAGACTTGAACCTGATTTAGTTAAAAGGTCCCTAAGCTTACCCTGAGGTCTTGTGGGTGTGTGGAAGCTTGCAGGGCACCAGGTTTCTCAAGAGCAGGCTCTGAACAGGCAATAAAAGCACAGACTGAGGGTCTCTTTTCCTTTCTCTTTCCCTTCTCTCCTTTTCTCTTCCTTTCATCCTCCCACATGGCAAATTTACTCACTGCATCCACTGGACATTTAGACAGTCATGAGCTGTAATTTCTGTGTTTGCAGGCTAGTGCAAAGGAATAATGGTTTTCCTGTGGTTTTCTGTTGACTCACCATATGATTGCAGGTTGTCACTTCACCAAGTGCTTTTCTCCTGGCTCCCCACCCTCCCTGTGGGACAGTTATTAGTGCTTGTATGGATCTCCAGAGCACCAAGTAAGATACAGTTGATTGCAAAGAAGCCTGAAGGTGGGGCCTATAAACAATTGTTGAATGCAGGAGAAAAGCCCCACCAGCCCCAAGGTCCCTCTCTGCAGGGGCAGCAATCTGGCTGGGGCAGTTTGTTGTGTTTATCTTGCTGTGTTGGGTTCATGTTGGGTCCACACTGTGCCAGCTTCATAGCCCTTCCTCCACATAGCTTCTGTGGACAAGGAGGCCCATCCATGGCATTTCTGGGATGAACAGCTTTAACTGTACAAAATGCAGGACCAAGTTTTCCTCCTGATCCCGGCCAACATTCTGTAGCTGGTGTCTGGTTTTAGGCTCCCTCTGCAGTTTTAGGCCCTTAATTTTTAAAAGCTATGAGCTCCCCATGCCTGTCCCAGTCCCAGCAGCTCACCTTGCATTGCCACAGGGTGCTCTTGCTTTGAGCTTTCCCTGCAAAATTCATTTTTGGGGTGGGGTAGGCTTTCGCTGGGATTTGTTTGTTTCATGAGGCTATTTAGATGTGGGGTTTTTTACTTTGGGGTTTTTTGTTGTTGGTGGTGGTTTTGGTGGGTTGGTTGGCTTGGTTGGGTTTGTGCTTGCTTTGAGTTTTGAGCTGGTTTGTTTTGAGGTTTGGGCATTTGTTTTGGTTTAAGGTTTAGTTTGTTTTGAAGTTTTTGTTTTGTTTGGGGTTTTGTTGTGTTCTGAGGGTTTTGGTTTGAGGTTTCTTTTGAGGTCTGTTTTGGTTTGAGGGTTATTTTGCTACCGCCTTTCCTTGTTTGCAGTTTGGGGTTTCTCCAGGGTGCTTTATCCCGGGCTTGGCTCAGCGCACCCTTGCTCAGCTCCGGGCCGGGCCTCGGCGGCCGCCGGTTCTACCGGGGCGGGTGCGACGCGGCGCCGCCAGGGGGAGCCTGTGCCCGCGGGGGACGCCGGTGGGGCGCGGGCGGCGCCGCCGGGGCTGGAGGAGGTGGAGAAGGCGGCGGTCCCGGTGAGCTCCATTTCCGCGTTGTCCAGGGGGACGGCTCCGGGTCGCAGCGTGGCCCCTGGCGGAGCCGGCTGCTCGTTTTGCCGGGGCAGCTGGGCCGGAGGACAGGTGGGTACGCGGGAGGACTTCGCGCCGGGCGGGGACGGTGCAGCTCTGTACCGGGAAGGCGCCCGGGCGCTTCGTGCGGAGTTTGGAGCCGAGTTTCGGGTGCTGGTGCGTCCTGGTTGTCCGGAGAGCGGCGGGGAAAGCGGGCATGCTGGGGCGGGGGAGCAGCTGTTGCGGAGCACTGGGGCACTCAGACCCGGAGCTCCACAGGTGGGAGAGGCTTGTCCAAAACGCTGCTGAAAGCAGCCCAGAAACGCAGCTGGATGAACTGCACAGGCTGAGTCGAGGTGGAATTCAGCCTTCTGAGGGTAACTGAATGTAAGTGACCGAGGTGTGTGGGGAAGCAAGCCAGAAATGGGAGGCTGAGAGCAACGTGCTCCTTGGAAAATATTACCAACCTGGCGGGGTTTTGAATACTGCTGGGTTTGTGCTTGTTGTGCGGTTGGAGCAGGCACGTGCACCTGGCAGAGGATGGATTGTCCTTGTTCCTTTTGGCACTCTGACACCGGGAGATGGATGCTGTTGTATGTGCAAAAGAATGACGTGCTGTGCGCATCCTCAGGGTTCTTAGTCTCCTGTAGCTTGGGTCAGGTACTCTCCAGGGCCTGGTCAAAGTCCACGGCTTGATTTCTGCTCGTACCAACAATGTTCAGGGTGATAAGGGTCTTAAGAGTTAGAACTGGCTGTGCTTGCGTGTTGCTCAGAGGCTTCCTAGGATGTTTAAACCCAATACTATAGCTTAAGGTTGCTGAGAAAGGGTATTTCATCCTCCAGAGGTGACGGCAGGCCCGTGGCTCAGAGCCATGCTGAACAGTGAGATTCTGGCAGGGTTGGGGGTCAGGCTGCTCAGTAGAGTTTCTCCACTGGCCCTGGGCTGTGCTTTTCCTGGTTCACTTAAGGTTACCAGTGAGATAAGCTGCATGAGGTTCCCTGCAAGGGATTCATTGACAAACGCTGGCCAGTGCTTCCCTGCGATGTCCACTTCTTTCTAAGAAACTCACTGCTCCTCGGGAGGCTGGGAGGTGCTGATTCCACCCTGCCAACCTCCGGCTGCAGGAAGCCTCCTGAGCTTTTTAGCATATCAGAATAGTGAAGTGAGTCTCTCTAATTGGCCATTTAGATGCTAATTTGCTTCTCCTAGGCCTCTGCCAGATCAACCTGCCCCAGAATGTGAGTCAAGAGTGTGCTGTCTTCATGAATTATTCACTTTGCACAACGTACCTGCCTGGCTGGGGATCAAAAGGAAATAGGGCCAAGGTCTAGTAAATAAAGATACACCTTGGCAGGTGGAACAGTGCTGGCTTTCCTCCCCAGCATCGTAGGGTGCTAGGGAGCAGGAATACTGCTTTGCCTAGTCAAAAACCTGTTCTTTATAGATTGCCATATATCAAGTAGCCATGCTAATAGGTGCCCTTCATTAATACAGGCTTGTTGGTGCCTTATGTCGGTTTTCCTGTAGAGCTGATTTTATCTTCCCACTCACGGGACTGGCATGGACCTCCAGGGCATTGTACTTTATAAGCTCTTTAACGAGCTCCATCTTAAAAGCAGTTAGGCTTCTTGCCACTACTGCTAGGATTGGGAAGCAGCTCAGGCACGTAGGAACTTTCTTTGTTTTCCCCCCAGACTTCATTCTCATTTGGTCCTTTTCCAACTTGGCCTTACATGATAATGACACCTCTCACTTTCTGTGTGCTGCAGTTAGTTTGTGTTTAATTTGGGCTGTGCCAATCAGATCCCAGTACACGGCTATGAATGAGGATTTCCCCAATTTCACTGTTGCTGAGATTGAGCTTTCATGGTGAGACAGACTGGAGGTCTGCTTGATTGGGTTCTTAAGTTGTTGCCCCAAAGCTTGCTAAGGCTTCGTGATGTTTATTTGGACATTGAGTTTTCCTTGTCTCTGTTGCCCCAAGCCACAGAGCTGCAAGTCAAGCGTGATCATATTGGATTCCTTGTGTTGCTTGGCTTTCATGTGCTAAGGGTTTGAGCTCTTGTGGGGATTTGCCTTAGTAAGAAGTAGCAAAAGGCCATTTCTCAGCTGTGCCCCTGTGCACTGGCCCAGCTCTCTCCCTTTCTGAGAGCAGGAAGGTGATGAGGATCACTTGGCTCCACTGGGCTTGTGCTTCCTGCCTGCTTCACCCCTATAAAATGTTTATGCTTATAGCAGGCTCCTTTGCTACTGGAGGGACTGACAATTTGCTACATAGACATAGGTGTGAAGAGGCAGTTCAAAATAGTTTGTGTGTGAGAAAAGCTTTAATAAACCCCTCATTCAGGCCAGCACTTGTAGAGACACAGTTACTCCCCTCTGGCTCTGAGGCATGGCTGTATCTTGAAAGTCAAGTGTGTGTCTTCTGCCGCTGATCCTACAGCCCCAAGGGTTATTCTGTCACTTCAAAACAGTGGTGTGCTTTGAAATACAACTGCGGCACTAGGATATTTAAAACATGAGGGGAAGACTTGTGTCTGGACTAAACAGCCTTTCCCTGCCTGTCGCGCTTGTCTCCCTGCTGCGCGACTAAGTGTCTGTGAGGAAAAGGGACTGGCCATCGGTGGGTGGGAGGCAGAGGCCGGGCTAGCCTTATCTATCTCTGCTACTCATTTATCCTCTGTCATAGCAACAAGAGCAAACACTCACTTAGTTGCTAAGGTTTCCTGGGGATAATGGGGTCTGGAGCAGAGAGTAATTACACTGCCTCTGTGAGGGAGCAGCAGCTAAAAGGAGAAACAGGCCAGCACGGTACCTGGTGCAAGCTGGGAGTCCTGGGGGAGCTGACGCCCTGGAAGCAGGCAAGTTAATTACACTGGCACAGCTCGGGTTGGGAATTGGGAACTTGTCTCTGGCCAACTGTTTAATTTTTATTTTTTAAATGAAGTATTAAACAAAAAATTGCCTAATTAATTTCCTATAAACCCAAATTAATATAGACACGAGCTGCTTAGCTGAAATAACTGGGCAAATGAATGACTGGAGACCTCCTTATGGGCCGGTGTAGGACATTTTTGTATTTGGAGGGCTCCAAGGATTTAATGCTTCATGAGCACCTGTAATCAGCCCAGCGGCAGGAGGGCTCGTGCAGGCTGTGCATTCGCTGCTGGGAGGAGGTGTTTTCTACTGCAAGGATTGCCTCAATGTCAACAAGACCCTTCAGGTTTAACTTTGATGTAGTCAAGATAAATGTGTTTGGGGTGGAGGAGTGGGGAAGTGATTCGGTGTAGCAAGACAGTGCTACAAGTGTACATGAGCTGAAAAAGCAAGCTAATAAATTTGGGGCAGAACACTGTTAAGGGTGTTAAATACAGTTACAGCCTGGCTTAGGGAGTGCATGATCCAGGAATCTTTGGAGTCTGGGAGGGTATTCTGGAAAAGTATTGCTGTGTTGTGCTCTGTTCTAATAGTCTTCCTTAAGTGTCTGTTCTTGGAGCTGGTCAGGTAGCAGGTGCCATGCACACAGGACCTTCGGCATGACCTACTGTGACTGTGCTCTGTTATTAAAGATGTGTGATGTTTATGTTGCTATTCTGCTGAGAAAACTGGCCTTCTTTCACAGAAGAGCCTGGAGGATGTGCTGCCCCACAGCTGACTGCAGCCACCTTCATCCTCCAGGCCAAGCAGGGACTGTCCAGTGGGAAAGATCTTGCTCAGTTGGCTGTCTTATGGTCACTCTGCAGGGATGTGGGGCCAAATCAGCAGCGTGACCCTGCAGCTTTCCCCTTCACTCAGACGCCACTGGAAGACTTCTCCCTTGCCTGAGTCATGTACTCAGGTGCCTTGCTCTCTGGCTGCAAAGTCCAAGTCACATCACAGAAACAGCAGAAGCAGTCATCAGAGCTTAAGGCAGAGGTGTGCTCAGTTCTGCATCCTCCAAAATGCTCCTAGCCCTCTGCAAAGGGTTTGCTTGCTGCAGGGTAGCACTCCTTCCTTGCTGCACTCCCCTTAGCATCTGTGCCAAGGGCAGCCAGGTGGACTCAGATTTAATGAGGTTTTGTTTCACATGATTTCCTCCATCATGGGAAAGAAATAAACAGGTAGAGTGTTTTTCAAGCGGGTCACAGAGTATTGATAAGAACTGCCTTTTAATTCTTAATTCAAGTAAAAAGCAGAATCTTGGAGTGGGAAGTTTGCTTTCTGTAATGCTGAGTACTTGTGCAGCCCCTTTATTCTGTATGCAGTGTATTTGCAGCTGGGCCAAGAGCTGTGGATTCTCTTGTTCTCTCACTGCTAGAGGCTGGCTGCTTCTGCCCTTTGTTAGATTGTTGAGAGGAGCAGAGGACAGGGATGGCTCAGTGAGCTACGTGTTAGCTGGAGTATTTTTGAGAGAGAATGCAGTAGAGGCTGACTGCAAGAGAGGGGTGTTTCACCACAGCCCATAGAAATGACTCCCCAGGCTGGGGAGGTTCTGCTATCTCAGTGTTTCTGATTAGGCTGATTCCACTGTACTTCTTGTCCTGTACAGAGATAAAAGGGAGGATGTTTCATGCCTTCCAGATACTGGTACCTTTTCTTTGGCATCGTTCCCGCAGCCATGCAAGATAATCTTTTCCATGCAATCTTACTAGTGTTTCTGTTTCCTTGCCAGCAGACTGTGGCCTGCAGTCCACATCCTTCTTTCCTTCTCTGAGGTAGTTGTATCGAACCACACCAGGCTTTTTTCTTATAAAGGTGTGAAGCCACCTTCAATGCCAATTTACCTTGGAGGGAGCAGCAGATACCCAAAGCTGCCAAAAGAAAATGCTCCTGTAAATATTTTATGGAATAATCAGTCTGAAGACTGTTTTGGCATATGATGAGTCTCTAGGCTGTGCTTTGTTTTCCTTCTTTCTTTGCAGATGCTGCTCAGGGAATGGAGAACAGAAAGCTTATGCTGAGTAACAAGAGGCAAAAGAGCATGACATTGCTTGTTTTTGTTCAGTCATGCTGAGAAAAGAGCGCTGTGGTATGAGGCTGAAGAATGTGCTTAGGTTTCTCCTGAGTAAAATGCTCAGCTGATGTGCTCTATTCTGCCTTGCCTTCAGCTCTGTTAGAGCAGATAAAGCTCTGCTGGGAAAGGGGCAGATGTATTCAGCACAGCTTTCCACCCTGAAAGCACAGCTGTTGGCAAAGCAAACTCCCCTGCCCTAACCATGGTATCGGGCTCATCTCCAGCTCTAGCTTTTATGTTTTCTTAAACATCCCACAGCTGCCAGTACTGCTCGCATCAGTATGGTTGAGTGCATTTAGCCTTGCCAGTGGACACTGAGTGCTTCAGGTGTGTGTGAGTGGGAGGGAAGGTACATGGTATATCTGAAGAGTAATTTAATATATGCATTTGTGAGGCTACATGTGCATATAATTCTGTAACAATGCACCACAGGCTTGGAAAATCTCTGGAAAATGCCAGGTCTGCCATTCTCTGTGAAATTGTAGCTTCTTTCTGCTTTTAACAGTGTCCTGGGGGTGGGAGCATCCAGATTCGATTGCTCTTAATGCTTGATTGCTCCCCTGTGTGTGAGCTGTTATAGGATGTATGTGGGGACTGCTGCCTTCTCTCCTTGCTTGAGATAATGAAGAAGACGCAAAGAGCAGGAGGTGTTCTGGGATAAAATGGGAATGCCACAGCATGTGTGACATTTGTTGGTAAGCCAAGATGCCAGCCTTCAAGGATTCATTCTAGGGCCGATCCATTTCAAAACTATGTAGGAAAGAAAGGTTTACGAAATCCTGTGTGATGCTTTTGTTTGTCCTTGCTGTCTCAACCCTCTTTCTCTGCCAGATCTTTCCTGCAGCCTCTCATCTCCTCCATACTTCACTTTTGTGTGCAGTTGGGCTGTGCCTGCTGAGCATTATGCTGAATTGTTAGAGCCTTCACCCTTTCTATACATCTGTCCCCTTGCACCGAAAGAAATCCATGCTTCCTGTGGAATTTCTCCTCTTTTCTCCTGCCTGTTGTAATCTCTGAGTTTTCAGACTTTCTAGAGAAATTGGATGACCTGAGAGGAGGGAACTGGTTCATTGTTTGTAACAGTTTTGGCTCTCAAGCTTGACATGGGGTTTGGCAGCAGAGAGCTGTCAGTTCTCTAGCACAAGTTAGCATTCTTGTGCTGGGGATCAAGTGCAGTGTGTGGCACATGTGAGCTCAGCACAGGGAGGGAGATGAATTTGCAGAAGCTGCCTGTGTCAGAGGGCCAAGGCCATGCAGCCTGTGATGCCTCCTGCCTGGCACAGAAGCAGAAACCTCTGTGTGTCAGCCATAGATAGCAAGTGTAGGTACAGCACACTGAGCCACGGGCACTGCTGTGGTCAGAGTGCTGTGGATTGAGACTGGAACATGTGTTTTCTTGGGAACTACTGCACAGTTGGCAGGTGATATACCTTGCCTGCTATTGTATCTGATTTGTGTTTGCCAAACAGAATTAAACACGTTATCTCTGCCCAGCAGGTATGGTTTCAAAGCTAGCAAGTGTCTGTTCTAGGGAAGGTAAGTATTAATACCTGGAAATTTATGCATTAGGGCTTGTGAGACACTTGGTCTGCTGGAGAGCAAATCCAGCTGGAGAAAAGCTCTGTACATCAAGACTAATTTTGCCTCCGCTGTAGTATTTTGGCTGTGTCTGTCCCTTGGTGCTTTCTGTTCATCTTTGCTGCTGGTAGGACTCAGAATTGCTTAGTTGCAGTCTCTTGGGGATGTGTTTCTCCTATGAGTGTGTGGAAATTGGTTTTCGCTGCCTTTACTCATCAGTTCACAGTGATACTGTCATTGAACAAGGACTCACTGGTGTGATTGTGCCAGTCACAGGAGCCTCAGTAGGAGGGTCTGCTGCTAGAGGTGCCGTCTTAAGCATCAGAGAATGCAAACAAGCTGCTAGTGTAGACTGTAGTTATAAATATCAGGTTATTATGGAAGCAGTTTTAATGAATGAAATGTCTTGCCACCTATTCATGCTGATTGTCAAGTGGGTTTTTGTTTGTTACCCTATTAAGAGGTAAACAAAAAAGCAACTTGTAGCTTCTTTGTGTCCTTTAGAGTGGCTTTCACTGTCAGTACTGCAGCGTTGGGGCTCCAGAGGTGATGGAGCAGAGATTGTTCTTAAAAACACTTTTCTCTAGTTTGAAATGAAAAATCTGAACTGACAAAGAGTCTCTGGCTTTCTGTTTTTAGAGTACGATAAAATATAAACTTCCAGCCTTGTCTTCAAGGTATTTGAAGGTATCTATTGGCTTGTATTTTATGAGGATGATGGTATGTTTTTGTCGCTGTTTGTAGGTGAGGGTCTGTCTACTTCCACCATGTGTAATGCCAGCAGAGCAGCCTTCTGGAATGGTTAAGAAGGCTGTGCCAAGCACTGCCCTGAGGTTTCTCCAGGGTGGGATGGCAGCTGTATTCAGTGCTGGTGTTTTCTTCTTACAGGTGTGATCCCTGCCTCTCCTCCCAGGCTGGTGCCATGGCTGACATGATATTTGGCAGTGGGACAGGCCAGTGGGTGTGCCCCAATGACCGGCAGCTCGCACTGCGTGCCAAGTGAGTCCTCACCATCCTCCTCCTCTTCTCCTAGCCTTGGCTCTGGCCTGAATGGTTTCCTGTTATCTGTGCGGAGCACTGGCCTCATTCACAGGGGTTTGCTTGTCATGCAAACCCCTCTGTAGCCTAGAAGTATGCTGCTTGGGTGGGAGAGGAGCCTGCTACGCTGGGGCTTGGTGCTTGGCTGCTGCTCAAAGCTGCCAGCCTACAGTGGAATTTGCAGTTTAGCTGCTGTGTGGTGTGTTCCATTCCACCAGCCCTCCCCTGGGTGAAAGGAAGGGCTTGGAGGCAGGCATATATCTCTGCAGCACCCTACAATATAATTGATAGCATCCCCCAGCTGCCAGAACTCTTTTGTATTAGGAACTTGTCATTTGATCTCATTTCTCCTGAAGTTAAATTACTGCATAACGTAAAGACAAAAGGGATAGAGATGAGTCAAGCACTACAATTGCATTTGTTTCCTGTATGCTTTTCTTCTCTGGCAGCCAGTGTGATACCACTGCCACCTCTGCTGTTGTGTGAACCTCTGGGGTCAGCCTGCTGTAGTGTTAGAAAATAGGAGGTCACACTGTGTCTGGGGGGACTGTGAACAGTGCACACCACTGCCGCTTCACCAGCCTTCACCTGAGAGCCTCATTAAGACAGCTGTGTCTGATAGTGCCCTACATTCTGCAGCAGCTGTGACTTTAGCCAGTGACCTCTAAACCCCTACTGAATAGTAATTAATTGTGCTGTGAAAGCTCCCGCCTGTCCCCAGGTGAGCTGAGGAGTAATGTCAGCCATTGTATGGGAGGCACGGAGGGAAGTGGATGCTGAAGTCCTTGTGGGGGCCTGTGTTAGGCCAAGGGAGGAAGTTGCCAAATTTATATTTCCATGTGTGGCTGATGATTTGTGTGTTTGTACTGAGGACCTTAGAAACATGCCATCTGGAGAGAGGAGGGTGCAGGTAATCCCTGTGTTCCAGAGTCAGCACCCATCTTTGCAAGGATACCCCCAGGATGGCCATCCTTAGGCGCATTAGTTTTTCTTTGTGGACAGAGCAAAATAGGAGTGAGGACATGGAGTAGTAAAATATGAACTGGAGCAGAGAGGAAAATGAGAGGGCAGGGAGAGATGGCGCAGACTCAGTGTTGCGGGAGGAGTGATGTGGTGATCTAGTCAGTGAGAATACACTCCTATTTTGGGCATTAGCTAGGGAACAGACTTCTCTGATGGAAGGCTGATGTGGGCTCTATGTGCCTGGCAGGCTTGGCCTTGTGGGTCATGGCAGGGGTTTTGTACTTTTCTTTCACAGCTTAATTCTTCCTTCTGCTCTCCCCCCTGCCACCATCCCCAGGCTTCAGACAGGCTGGTCAGTGCACACGTTCCAGACGGAGAAGCAGAGGAAGATGCAGGCTCTGAGCCCACAGGAACTTGAGGTCATTCTGGAAGTCATCCGCAAGGCAGAGAAATTGGACATCATTGAGCAGCAGCGCATCGGGTACAGTCACGTTCATTTGTCCCTTTCCCTCAGAAGGAAAGGTCAGCTCAGACAGAGGAGTGGCTCTCCTGGCTGCCTGAGCTCAGCCTTCATCAGTCAGAGCATCCCTTAAGTCAGTTACTTTATCCTCCCATGTTGCTTGTTTGGAGACGATGAACATTGGGAAGGATGTGGTGTTTTCCTTCTGCCTCTGTCTCAAGCCTTTCTTGTGCCTTCTTTGAGCTTTGGGGCTTGCTGTGGTTGCAGCCACTGACACAGTACCTGGTAAATGTAGCCTCTGCTAAGGCAGCTGCCCCAGTGGCTGCACAGTGGAAGAGGCTGGGGAAGATGTTGATTTATGCAGCTGCACCTGCTGCTAGTGCACTCTACAGCTCAGGAACTGCTCCTGGTGCCACGGTGAGGTTTTCCCTTGTCTGCAGCAGCCCCCTGGGATTTTGCCTGGAGCACTGAATGCGTTTGTTCTAGTTGGCTGAGCCCTCTGGAAGGGGTTTGCTAGCTTGAATTGTCTAGTTTATGGGCATGCTTTTGCTGCTGCAGATTTCCATTTGCTTTCAGTCCTGCTGGAGGTCTTATTTGTGAGACAGGAAGCTCCCAGCCCATGTCCAGCAGGCTCCGCTCCCTGCCTCTGTGCTTTGCTCTGTCCCTGTGCAGTGCCTGTTAGTGCTAACAAGACCTGACACTGATGTTTGTGTGATATAATGGAGATCCAGCAGCCCCAGAAGCAGCCAGCAACCCCGAGGGACTGATCGTTCTGTGTTGGTTGGTGTAATTGCAGAAGGTGATAGCTTTGCTGTGCCCATGCTGCAGCATTCTCTAAAACGCCTTTGTTAAGTCCTGGGAATTTTCTTGTGCTGAAGTCAAGAATTATAAATCTATTAATGATGGCTCAGCCTGGCTGTGCTGTCTGACCTCGTCACCATAGGCAGTACCTCTTTTAAACAGACCTTGCCTTCCTCTCAGTACGGGCCTTAGTTGAGGGGACATTAGTGCTAATGAGGATGAGGTTGCATGGACAGCAGGATTGCGTTTCCTCCCTGAGCCACAGGCACATGTGTGGCTGTGACTGGTCACTGTCTCTGATAAATGGCCTGGCTGTTAGTGCCCTCGTCTACAAATGGATGCCTGAGAATTGCCAGGCAGTGATCTCATGACAGCAGCCCTGCTCTGCATGCTCTCCACATCCTGCGTCCTAATTGCTTATCCCGCCTTCCTTCCCTTTTGTAGTCCTGCTGCTATGGACATCGTGCATACATGTGTGCTTCCTGTCTTCCAAGCAGGCTGTCAGTCACAGCAGGGAGCAGTTTCTGGCATTCCTGTACTACAGCCAGGCTCATTTTGGTTTGATGGCTTCAAGTCTGGCTTTCCTGCTTGTAGTGGAATGTGGGCAAGTCATGTGCCTGCAGTGTGGCTTTCAGGGAATATATGTAAACATGGAGCAGAGCTTGGCAGGTCTGACTCCTCTGCCCTTTCCCGGTGTTGTCTGACTTGCCCTGATCTGAGCGCTAAAGGCTTTTCCTGTTCTACAGGCAGGAAATCACTGTGCTGAAACTGTGGCCCCAGTGACAGTGGGTTCCTGAAGGGTGTAGGATCAAGCCCTTCTTGTGAGCTGTCTGCCTTGCCCCTGCTATCTGAGTCAGACCTCTCAGGAGTAGTCAAAGTTTTTATTATTCAGGGCTTGGTGAGCATCAGTAGATGGACTTAAACAGCTTTTTATCCCCTGATGAGCAAGAGCCAGCTGATAGGAAACACTTGAGTGTAGGGGCTGAAGTGAAAGTACATATGGCCCCCAGCAAGGGCCCCAAAACTGTTCAGAAGAAGCAAAGGCAGGCTGAGTATGGAGCACCCGTGTGCAGGTTTTTGGCATGCCTCAGTACCATGTGCTTCCATTTCCAAAGTGAGTGCTTTGACCTCTGCTCTGCCTCTTCCCCCCAGGCGCCTGGTGGAGCGGCTGGAGAACATGAGGAAGAACGCGATGGGGAATGGCCTCTCGCAGTGCCTGCTTTGCGGTGAACTGCTTGGGCTGCTGGGTAGCACGGCGGTCTTTTGTCAGGATTGCAAAAAGGTGGGTTTAGTTACACACAGGTTCCTGCATATTCCTGGTAGCAGAGCTGTCTAGAAAGTCCACCAGGCCACTTGGAATGTGTCAGAGCATCAGGTTTTCTCTTACACCCCTTATTCCTTAGGATCCTAAAGTGCCTAAACTGCACTTTGTGCACCAGCCCCTCTGTACCTCCCACTCCAGGTTTGCAGAGTGGGAGAAGGGGCAGAAATGTACGACAAGCAACCAATAAAAGAATCTTTGTGCTTTACTATTACTTACTGCAAGGTCTGCCCTTAGGCTTTCCAGTAATGCCTCTCTCTGGAGGAGTCAAGTCCGTCTTCAAGTTCCAAACCAGTGTAAAGTTTCCAACTGTGTGCACTGGTGGCTGCCTGTGTTTGAGTATGTTGTTGGCAGGACTGTACGGGTGCCGTTTGAAAGGCAGTATCAGTTTTCAGGCAGATTGCTGTTCTGCCAGCACCCTGAGGGATAACTGTTGCTTGTCTAGACTCTGCAGCCAAGGGGTTAATCTGTATTGCTGTGGAAATGATGATCTCCAAGGCAACCACCTTATCCTCCCTCTGCTGGGAGGCGGTTTTTCCTGCACTTGAAGCCCATCTTTCCCTGGGGAGAGCACTCTGTAAGTGACTTTGCCTCAGCATGTTGCATGGGGAGAGATGAGGGTACCTGCTGCGTGCCAGGAGTGTTTCTGACTTGCTGGTGGTAGAGTGGAAGGGAGCAACGTGTGCTGACTCTGTCCCTGGTGGGTACGAGAGCCAAGGAGACACTTACTAGTGTCACCCACCCTGTGTCACTGAGGAGGTGTCCTGTGGATCTCACAGGACAGCACTGAGTAAAACCTGCTCCTCACCATGGAATGGTGCATGTTGGCACCTCTGTGGTTAAGCTGCCACTCAGGCCATGATGGAGAACTTTTTGTGCTGGCATTGACAGCATTTGTGACACGCAGTTCTCATGCAGAACAGGCTGCCAGGCTGGGCCTGCACTGGTCCATGGTTGGCTGCAGCACTGCTGAGCTCAGAGCTCTTGTAGGAGAAGGAAGGTGGGTGTCCCTTGGAGTCAAAACCGAGGTCCCAGCAACCCTCCATATGTGCTTGCTGGGCAGGAGCTGCTGTGAGCTGTGCTGCCTTTGCTGTTGAGTGAGCTCCTCCACTGGATTCAGTTTGCAGAAGTAGCTTATAGTAGGTTATAGTGGAGATTTCTTGTAAGGCAGTGACTGGGCAAGTAAACATCAATCTTTGAACTTTTGGGTCCTAACCCAGTATTTTGGTAAGTGTTGGGGAAGCAGTAAGGTACAAGGAAGTTAAAGGTCTGGTTTGAACTGAAGGTTCAGCAGCTCTCTCAGTGAGGTGCATGGGAAGTGCATGGGCTCTGTGCATGTGTGCTTGTGGAGAATAAAGGGCTGGATAGCAGACAGGGGACGGCTGGCTGTTTCCTGTGTTTCAACCACATGGAATAACAGGATGTGCTGTATTCTTGCCTCCATCCCTTGATGGTTCTGCTTTTGCCTTGTCCAAAGCCAGCTAGGTCACATTGCCTTGGTGCTTCCTAATCTTCCTGTGAACCTTGTACCCTAATGAGGAGGCAAAAACTGATTCAGCCATTTCCCTGCCCTGTCCATTTGCAGTTGCAGATAGGAACCCCTAGCTGCAGGAGCCCCAGCTGTGACTGGAAAACCCCAGAGAAGGGCTGGGATTTTAGGTTTTATTTTTTATGGTTATTCCCTTTTTGTCTGGAGTCTGTTCAGGAGCATTCATACCCAGGTTGTTTTAAGGTGAGACCCTACTTTTCCAGTGTTCATTTTGCAGCTGCTTCCTGCTTGTTTGCACTTTCCAGCTGCGTGCAAGCTCAGGGCAATGCTGACTGGGTGTCCTGGGCTTCTCCCCTTACCGTTTTATAATGCTAAGGAGGGAACTGGGGGAGCAGTCAACCCTTCAGCAGAGCACACACAGTAGACTGTTACTTTAAGCTCATCCCTTCTCATCCAGGGATATCTATCACTCGTGCAGTGCTGTATGCAATAAGAAATGACTTGTCAGGGAATTATAGATTTTTAAAGTTCCTGTTCTTCTTGCTGGCTTTGCTCTGTAACCATCTCATTGCAGCTCACATAATTCAATAACAGAAATTGTTGTAATGATGCATCTGAAACGTAGAAAAGAACTTAGCTTCAGCAAGTCCGTTCTGCTAAATAGAGGTTCTGTATTTCTTGCAGCCTGATGGATTTTCGAAGTGCCACATTCTGTTTTACAAAGAATGTATTTAATATTAGTTTTTATTATCTTAGATATAAATACATAATGGCATGACAAAGATGTAGTCAAATCCAGATGTGTTAACAATAACAGTAGTTAGACAAAGCATAATGGGTCATTTATTGTGCAGAGAGTATCAGTGTCATGTATAAAAGGTGAAGTACAAGTGGGAGAAGAAAGTGCCTTATCTTGTATTTAAATAGGAATGGGGATGCATTTAATGTCCTTGATTTTTATGTCATCTTTTGAGGGGCTATGAATGATGCTCAGTATAAACCCAGTTTATATCAGAACTGTGAAAATAGGAATAAAATCGCTTGGAAACTTCCACTAGAGGGAGTGTTTGAATGTGCTATACGCGAGGGAATTGGGATCTTTGAGGGTATTTAAGACTGGGTCGCTCCCTCAGGTTTTGGTTTGAGGGAGGGAGAATTTGGGGTAGTTCAGGTGGTGTCTGCTAATTGCATCTGCAATCCCCCTTGATTTGGGTAGCACCCAAGTGTTGAGTATTGATGCATCAAACACAATAGGATGCTTCTTACTTCTCTGCAATGATGAGGACTGAAACAGAGAGATGGAGAAGAGCACCAACCTTTGTGGGGCTGTTAGTGCTGCCCTTCCATTTTCTGTGCAGCATGACAGACGTGCCTCTGGACTATGCTGACCAAAACAGTCGGATGCATTTATTCATGCAGTGAAGCCATTGCTTCAGGTACCATCATTCCTCCTCCATGCATGGGCAATGAGGGCTAAGTGAGCCACTGAGACTTTCATCCTTGAACACAGGCCTCCTGTCTCAGAGGAGGAGCAGCCTGGTGGCGGGCATATGTAAAACCTTAGCTGGGGAGATTAAATTCGCATGTCTCTGAGCAAGGTTTTGCTCTCCAGGGCCCTCTTCTGAGTGGCTTTTGCTCTGTGAGGATCAAAGAATTCATCCAATTTCTCATTCAAGCTGTAAGCCAAGCCTGATACACATCAGCTTCATTATATAATATTAGATGATTCAGGTTGTAAATGGCTTGTAATGCCAGCGGAGACATGAAAGTTCCCTTGTGCAGCAGCAGAGGCCGTGTGGCGTTATCAAGCATTCTGCTCAGACAGTGTTCATGTAGGCATGGCCCTGCCACAAATCAATAGCTGTCAACTGAATGCTGAGATGGAGGAGAAGTCATGGGGTTTGAGACTATGTATGTGAGGGAAGGGAAGAGAGGATTTCCAGTCTTGCACAAACTTGGTTTGTACTTAGTTTTAGCTGCTTTCCATGGCACAGTGATTGGGGTTTAGGATTAAAAAAACAACTCTGGAAATATACCTGTTGGTCATGGGCTTTGATTTGCCCTTTCCAGTTCTCTTCTTGCCAATGGAGTCAAGGACTAGACTGTAGATTTGCCTTTGTCTCATGTCCATATAGACCTGGAGCAGCTTCCTGTGGTTGGTGGTTCTCCAGGTTAAATAAAATTGTGCCATGATTAGGTTTTTAAGGAAAACAAATCAGAACTGTTGGGAAAAATGCTTCCTGACCTTCTCTCTCCCAAGGGCTATATGGCTGTGGGGAGCTGCTAATGCCACCTTATTTTTTCCTCTCTTGTTTCAGAAAGTTTGCACCAAGTGTGGAATAGAAACCTTTGGAGCCCAGAAACGTCCTCTTTGGTTGTGCAAGATCTGCAGTGAACAAAGAGAGGTAAAATACAACTGTGGAGAGATGGGGCTCAGCAGCATGCACCTACCTGCCTCAGGTCTGTGCTGAGCATGCATTGGCTCTTCCCTGCGCCTAGGTGCTTGGAGGGAAGCTTGGGATTGGTTTTGGGAGGCTCAATGAACACACACAATGGTGAAAACTTTGGTTTATTGAGGGAGTAGAGGGAAAAAAATCCCCCAGAATCCCCTGCAGCCTGTACAGCTTTGTGGGATTTTTTTGGTCATAAAGAGACTGTTACCTTTTGCCATGCTCTTTCCTTCCCAGCTTTGTGGCAAATAAACTTGGCTAGCGCTGGTTCTTCAATACAGCTGGAGAGATGTAGAGGATAAGTGCAATATTTGTCCCTCTAAAAATAACCAGGATTGCAGTTTATAAGTCTGTTTCCTCCCTGCCTGCAAAATCCCATAACTTGACAGTGTGTGAGACTTCTAATGCAGGTCTTTAAATTTTTATATCCTTCATCTTTGACTTTACACAGCAAAAAGCAATGGCCTGCCTCAATTTTTGTCTGCCAGCCAGCATCCACCAACATCAGGGCTTGCTGCTCTACAGTGAAGTCGGTGAATTTGTTCTGTGATTACAGAAGGATTTTCACTTGTTCCCATCAATTTCTTTCAGACTTTTGCTTGTGGTCCTTGAACATCAATCTAGTGCAGCTATTTCTGACCACTGCAACCAACCGTGAAACCTGGATACTCTGCTACATCCATTTTTGAAGTGTAGTGAGAGCATTTGTGCAGGTGTTTTGCTAAATTTTTTTTGCTGCTAGTTGTGGAAACTTGGCTTTGCTTAAGTTTTACATCAGAGGGGACTGTTTGTGCGGGAGCACTTGCAAAATTCATGTTCAGCTAAGACGAGGGGTACACGGATGCTGCCAGTCCTCAGCTTTTGAGCAGCAGGGTGGGTAGGGCAGGCAGAGAGCATTCCAGCTCCTTGGACATTGCTAATAACTGGATACACTGAATCTCCCAGATGTAGGTCCCGAAATGGAGAGCGAGGCAAGTAAAGATATTTTCTGTGTTCTGCAGAGAGATGGGTATGGGACTGAA